GAGACCTGGGAATGAGGATATTCGGCCTCAGGGCAGGGCCCAGGGGATTGGGGGCAGGGCCCTCATTTCCTGGGGTCTTTGGGGCAGGAGATGGATCCTGGCCTCTGTGTCCTGGCTCAAATACAGCTGATTGTCCCCCCCCACACACACACTAAGGACCCCCAGTATGCCCCCACCCTGAGCTCAGGCCTGACACCCACACCCCTTCCACCTCTCCCCATTGCCTTCCAGCCAAGCAGAGCAAAGCCAGTCCTATGCCCAGACCCAGGTCTTGTCCTGGGTAAGGACAAGACCCCTGGTGTCCTGAATCCACCCCCACCACACACCTTTCAAGGTCACCTTGTTGCCAGCACCCATGAGAGTTAGCTCTCCACCACCAAGACTTCCCCTTCTCAGTCAATCCCAGCCCAGGCTATCCCCCCTCCCCCCCAGGTGCCTTGTGACATCAGAAAGCCCCTATGGGCCAGCAGCAGGGCTGGGGCAAACATGGCCAGAGCTAGTTTTCCACAGAGCTGAAGGAAGCTCAGGCCAGGCGGGTGCCTTGGGGACCCCAGCAACGGCTACGTGGCAGAGGGGGACCCTTCGGTGGCTCTGCGATGGGGTTGTGCCAGAGCCGGCTCCCCAAGACTGCCACACCTCTCAAACCTGAGCTGAGGGGTAACCTGGCGGGGGGAGGGGGCACCTGGACACCAGAGTTCTGTGCCTCGACTCTGAGGGGAGCAGGATGAAGCAATGGGAAACAGGGGAATCTGGGCATTTGATACCCAGGATGGGGGCGCAAAACAGGACACCTGGGTTCTGTCTCCAGCCTGGGGGGAGGGAGCAGAGGGTCTCATAGGTTAGAGTCAGGATGGAGCCATGAGCCGGGATGCCTGGGTTCCATCCCAGGTTAGGGAGAGAAGGGGTCCTAGATAAAGGAGCAGGGGTTGATTAGGCACAGATCTACCCATCACCTGCCACCTTCAGCAATGATGCCTAGAGCAGAGATGGGCTTCGGGCCCATACCTGCATCCCTGGAGCACGCTGGTGGTTGAGCTAGGAGGGATTGCTCTCAGCAGATGGCTGGGAGGGGGAGGGAGCTGGGGAACAGCCTGCCCTGGTCCTAGGCTCCCAGCACTGGGGTAGCCAGTGGGTTCAAATCCGAGCCCTGTGATCTCCCTCCCTGTCTCTCCCTGCTCCCAGAGAAGCTGAAGGCTCCCATCATTGTCTTCATGGTGGGGGGGCCAGGCTCTGGCAAGGCAACACAGTGCCAGCGCCTGGCTGCCAAGTATGGCTTCCACCACCTCAGCATGGGCCGTGTGCTGTGGGATGAGGCCTGCAAGCTTACCACCCAGGGCCAGCAGATTCGGGACATCATGCTGAAGGGAGCTCTAGTGCCCTCTGTGAGTGTTCAACCCCTCCTCTCCCCCTGCCCTGTTCCCCAGTCCCTGAGCAGGCCTCAGACACCTGGCTCCCCTCTATACCGGCCTAGCAGCCAGAGCTTGCCAGGACTCAAGCACCTATCCTTTGGATGAGTAGGAGGAAGCACAACATCCTCTATGCCTCCATAGAGGCATTTTAGCCAGGGGTAGGATAGGGATGACACCCCCCTTCAAAGTGAGGGGTGTTGCTAACCCCCCCACCCTCCCAGGGATTTGTCATTGACCTGCTGAATGACAACATGCTGAAGAACGAGGGAGCCAAAGGATTCCTGATTGATGGCTTCCCCCGGGAGATCAACCAAGCCAAGGACTTTGAGTTTATCGTGAGTGTGATGCCTCCCAGGGCAGGGCTGGGGAGGAGATTGAGACCAGCCCTCCTGGCCTTGCCCCAGGATGCTCCACCAACAGAAGCCAAGGACCCAGGCTCCCTCCCTGACTGGGCCCTGGCTATGCTACAGGCCCGACGCCCCCCCAACATGGTGATTGCCTTTGACTGCTCCACCGAGACCATGATCCAGCGCCTGCTGCTGCGGGGGCAGACGGGGCACCGAGCTGATGACCAGGAAGCCATCATCCGCCAGCGCCTGGAGACATACTACTCCCTGTGTGAGCCTGTGGTGGCCTATTACCACCAGAACAACCTGCTGCGCAATGTAGGTGCAGCTGGAGGGGTCATGAAGACCCCTGCCCACTTTCCCCCCCCACCACCCTCCAATTCCTGGCAGAGTCCCCCAGGCTTCACAGGTCCCTTGTTCCATCTGAGCCTGGGGGGTAAGGAAGTCTGGGGCTGAAGGGGCAGGGAGCTGACAGCTGAGCTGGGCTTGAGATAACAGCAGTCCCTTGTGCTGTTTCTTCACCACTGGCTGCCCCAAGCAGTGGCTTGCCAAGCATTCAGACTCTTCCCTAGGCCATGGCTTGCAACGCTAAGCCCAAAGCTCCCCCCATGCCCAGCTAAGGAGTAGAGACCTAGGGCCAAGCACCCACAGCCCAGGGCACGGTTGGAGGAGCCTCTCTCAGGGTACTGGCTCCTTCTGGGCCCGCAGATCATGGGTGAGGAGTCAGAAGACGCTATCTTTGCCAAGTGCTGCTCCGTCATCAACAGCCTCCTGTAGCAGAGGCCCCAGCCACCACAGCTGTGCCAGCCACCACCTCCAATAAAGATGCTGCTACCAGCCAATGGACAGTCTTAACTTCAGGGGCCTACACCAGAGAGCGGGCAGCTGCCCACTGCTGGGCTAGGAGGGGCACCAGAGCACTGTATGCTGCATGTCTCCCCTGCCCCTGCCTTCCCCAGGCACCTACCTGCACACTTCAGCAGAGGACAGGACCTGGGAGGATTCTTGCATCCAGCCCAGGGATGAGGCTCCATGGCTAAGGGGAGCAGATGGAAGCAGCACCAGAATAGCTGATTTATCCCCTCCTTACACCCAGTCACAAGCTCAGCATAGCTCCAGGGGACAGACCTCAGGAGAGAAGGGTGGGGGCTCTGATATACAGTGCTCCTCACTATCCCACCACCAAGTCACCCCTGTACACCCCCCCCAGCAAAAGCATTAAGGGACAGGTCCACCTAAGAGACAGGATCTCTCGGGCTCCTGCCCAAGCTCAGGGAAGGGGGCATAAGACCAAAAGCTCCTCTTGCACTGGTGGGACACTAGCAAATGTCAGACACTAGCTCTCAGCTACAACAGGCAGAGGAGGATGGGGGTACTGGCCTGTGGTGCACACAGCTGTCCCCGCAAGCCACTCTGCTTACAGCAAGGGTGGGGGGTAGCAGCAGGGAAAGGGCCCCAGGAGCCCACCTGGGATCAACCTAGATCCCAACTGTATAGTGGTAATGCTGCTCTAAACTCTCCCAGGTGGGGCACTAACAGGGCAGGACCAAGTCTGTTCCCTTCAGTAACCCCCACTGAAAGCAGCCCAAAGCCAGGTGCAGAGGTGGGAGTTCTGCCCTCATCCTCTCATTCCCAGCTCCAGCCCCCCTTCCCCCACAGGGCTGCCAGCCTAGATGTCACAAACAGGCAAACCACACAACCAAGAACCCCAGGGCAGCTAGTAGCGGAGGATTAAACAGAGAGCATTTCATATCACAGAAAGAGGCAACCGCCTGCCTGGCCTGCAGGCAGCTCCGAGTTTGTGACTCCAGGCTCAGCAAAGTTCCCAACCTCCAGGCGCCTCCAGCTGGGCTGGAAGGACAGATGGACGGCACCCAGCGCCCACGGGAGGTTTTGTTCTCGTTTATTTGTGAAGTTAAAAACAAGCGGTAAAAAGTAAAAACCGAGCGCACAATTGTTCCGGCTGGTCGGCTTCAGTCTCCTGTGGAACAGATGGGGAGGAGGGAGGATGGGATGGGGAGGGCGGGGGGGGGAACCCAAAAGAAAAAAAAAACAGAAAAAAAAACCACACAACAGACCAGTCCTGGGAGCGGGGAGATGGGAAGGGAGCGAGCCAGGAAGGGAGTTGGGGGTGGGGGGCTGAGACACCGACACCGGATCAGGAATGTTCGACTCTAACTAAAGCAGCGCGAGTCTCCAGGGGGGACAGGGGACACTTTATTTTTTTCCCTCTTTTTTTCTTTTTTTAAAACAAAAAACAAAAACAAAAAGGCAGGAAATGTTAACCCCGCGGGGGCCGGGCCAGGCCAGAGTGGGGTAAGGGGGGTGGGCACCCCGCCGTTAATTCGCTACAGTCTACAGCGGGCTCAACAGGGGGGAGGGGCGCAAACGCTCGACTGGTTTAAGTTTTATTTTGTGAAGAAGCTTCCCCCCCACCCCGCCCCACCCCCTGCCATCACCACCACTGCAGTGGCATCTCTTCTGAAAACAAAAGGGGTTTCACAGATGGGGGAGTTCACATTCGATTCACTGGGCCTGGAAAGAGCAGGGAGAGAAAAAAGTCAGCCACTGACTGTTCCTGGGAAAGAGGGGCAAAACTGGAGCTAGACACCCCACTCCCCCCCCAGCCCCATCTTGAAGTAGCCTGGCATGGAACGGAGTGGCCAGGCCCCACAGGGAATGAGATCCCAGCTCTAGTGATCCTCCTGGATGGGGGAAGTTCAAGCTATGGGTAAAGGCCCAGAGTTTCACTGCAATGGAGTCTATGCCCAAGCCTGGGAACTGCCAAGAACACAGAGACAGTTTTCCCCAGCTCCCAGGGACACCTGAAAAGAGAAATCAGGCCAGGGTCCACCTAGCTCTGTCACCCCCTCCCCACATAGGAGGCCTGGAGGTCTGGGGCCCGTGCTCACCTGCTGTCCCTGCTGTGTGGGCGGTGGGGCTGGGCCCGCGGCCCCTGGCGTCTGTCCGTAGTAGGCTGCTTGCTGTCTGTAGTACTCTGCCCAGGCCGCACTGTAGTCCGGCTGGGGGCCGGGTGGGGCTCCAGGACCTCCTCCAGTAGCCACTTGAGCTGCTGTGAGGGAAGAAGGGGGAGAGAACAGGAGAGAGTGAGTCATTGCAGGCAGCTGAGGAAGGTCATGGAGGGTGGGTGGCTGAGGAGCCATGCTTACCTTGCTTCTTGTAATATTCCTCCCAGGCTTTTGTGTAATCCTGTTGTGGGGGTGCCCCCGGCTGCTGGGGCTGTTGGCCTGCAGGCAAAGGCACGTGTGTCAGGGAGCCTGGCACGCGCAGAAAGCAGGGTGAGCAGTAGTAGGACAACTGGGTCTACATGTCCCCACCCCCCATCCAACCCCCACCCCCAACATAACCCTAAGAACTGCTAGCATCCCCTCCCACAAGGTGGGACAGCCACCGATCTTGCTAAAAAGCTATTAGCTAGTGAAAGCTGAGCAAAAGCAGCTGCACTTGTTGTTCAAGTAGAATCACTGTCAGGTACAGTTGGGGGGGAAAAAAAAAGTGTTTAAAAAGGGAAAAAAGTATCTGGGTCCATTTTAGCAGACAGTGCTTAAAAAAATAAAATAAAATAAAAAAAGAATTACCCAACAGTAAAAACTCAATTATACAAAATAGCTTATGAACAGCCAGTAGCAGGAACGGTAGTCATGGTAAAAAATAATAAATATGCAAATAATGAAAGGCAAACATTTGGGGACAAAAGGCTACTGGACTACTAAAACTACCCTGCATTGTCTGCTCACCAGAATAGGAAGCAAGACTAGCTTGCAAGGTAACTAGTGCAGTTCTAGGTATAACAGTGCGTTGTCTGCTGAATAAATCTACATAAGCAGAGTAACCACCCGCATCTCTTAACTCAAGCACTCTCCCTCAACCCACCAGTTCCCCCATCCAAGGTTGTGCGGCAACACCATGGGGGCATCACTGGACAAGGAGCAAGGATCAAACCAGCACCAAGGAACAGTGAAGACCCTTAAATGCGCCCCCCCCCCCAAGCTGGGGACCTACCTATTTTTTTGTAATACTCCTCCCAGGCTTTAGTGTAGTCTGACTGGCCAGTTGGGGGCGGCTGTGGGGGTTCTCCCTGCACAGGCGGGGCTGCAGGCGCCGGTGGCTGCCCAGGCACGGGGCCCGGGGGCTGCTGGTAATAGTGCGAGTAGTAGGCTGCCCAGGCCGCATTGGGATCCGCTGCAGCCGCTGCTGCTTTGCCTGGAAAGAAGCAGAGCATGTAGCCCCTGGGATGCACAGCTGATGTCCCACTCTGCCCTACCCACATCGGTGATACTCACTTGGGTCGTGAGGTGCAGGTGGCTGCCACTGTGGGTAGGTGTTCCCCCAGCCCTGGGGTGGGTACTGGTGAGGAGGAGGACCACCAGGGCTGTAGGGGGAGAGAGCGAGCGAGAGCAAGAGCGTTACCATCCTGGCATGGGCCAGGACTGGCAGAGGTGAGGGAGGAGTCCCCGGCCTCAAGGCACCACAGAGCCTGACTGTGACACAAATGCCCCGTTTCTCCTAAAAAGGAGGCACCTGGGCACAGATCTGCACCCCTCCCATACCCCCAATCAGGTGCCCCACAGAGGCAGCTGGCACATCAGAAGACAAGAACTGCCTCTCCCAGGTCACGCTAGGTCCATCTTCCCAGTCTGTGTCACACATCACCAGAATGCGGATGCTGGAAGTGAACTGGGCCTGACTATGGTTTTCTCTCCACCCCCTTCCTCTCCAACTTGCAGACTCCAACTTCTAAGATTCAGGACGTTCCAATTCAGAGACCATGCCCCTCACTCCTGTGCACAATAGCTACTGATGCCCCTTTCCTCCAAGGACAATATCCAATCTCTTTGTGAATCTGGCTAAACTCAGTTTCCACCACATCAGGTGGCAATGAGTTCTACCTTTTAATGCCACGCTGGGTGAACACCCCCCCCCACCCTGTGTTTGGTTTAAACTGACAACTTATTCACACCATTCATGCCACCCCCTACCTGCATCTGACATGGAGCCAGGCAGCCTATATTGCCCACGGCTATGAGCACACGCTGTTCTGACATCTTTTGCTACTCTTCCGCCCCCCACATTCCCCAGACATGAACACCCAACACTTACTGAGGAGGGGCTCCTGGAGGGCCCTGATTGAACGGTCCTGGGTTGAAAGGCCCCATGGGGCCAGCAGGTCCTGGTGGCCCCCCAGGCCCTGGTCCTGGTCCAACTGGGCACAAAGGACCCTGGGAAGAAGAGACATCCATACGTGAGCAGCAGCAGCACTGGACCCAAGTTTAGCCCAGGGCTCCCAGCCCTCAAACTGTCCCTCTAAAAAGCCTGCACCCACCTCTATCTTCTCCTCGATGAGCTGCTTGGCGTGATCAATCTGCTGTGGGGACCCTCGGATGATGAACAGCTTGAAGTTGGGGTCACCATTGGGAGGCAGCTGCCGTGAGATCTCCACAAATGCCCCCGTCTGCTGGTTTATGGCTTTGACATTCTCCCCACCTGGAAGAGACAGAAGAAGGGGGGCAGTGATGGGGTCTGTATATCTGGGCACCCCCAGGGACTTGCTGCTGAAACAGCCAAGGTCACTCACCTCTGCCAATGACCAGCCCACACTTGTGCGTTGGGATGGAGAAGGTCATCTCCCCACCTGGGGGGCCCCAGTTGCCCTGCCCTCGTCCTCGTCCTCTGCCCCCAGGGGGCATCCCTGGGCCAGGGGGGCCTGGTGGGCCGCTCTGCAAGATGAGCAGGAGACAGGGCATCAGAAAGGAGTCACCAGGGGAAGAGGACATCACATCCAAGGCCCCCTCATCTTTACTGAGTGGTACAGCCCTGGGCACAGGGGCTGCTGGGTCACACTGGTATCACTGGAGAAACCCTAGACTGGCTAGCTCTAGTTGAAGCCCTCATAGTCCTCCCTGGGATCTCCCTTGCATCCGCTTCTCAGACCCCATGTACATGTTACACTTAAGGCATGATTTACAGGTTTTGCCTTAAGTGATCACCCAGCAACATGTTCAAATCAATTAATGGCATGATAAAAGGAATAGCTACAAAATTACTCCACAATCTGTAATAACTTCGTAGTTGCTTCTTATGCCATTAACTGAACATAAGGCCAGGGGCCCCTGTGGCTGGGAGCCCCATCAGCTGACCTGTACACCCCTGAGCTTGGGATCTATAAACTGACAGGGTCACATGGACCTCCGCAGCTGGGAAATTGCAGCAGCTCATCTCCCAGCTGCAGCCATGTGGTACACTTCTGCATGGTGCACCTCAGCTGAGGGGGCTCCCTATAGTGGGAACTTGCTTCTTGTCAGTACAGGGGAAGCCTAGGTTCAGGCTCCCTCTGCAAGGGCAATAAGATGTGATGGGATCTGATCATACCTCCTGCCATGCATGCATGGCCTCCAGGGGACAGGAAAGGCCAAAGGGGGCTAGGATCAGGCACAAGCCCAGCCTGCCCCTCTGCATCCTATAGGGGATGCCAAAGGAAGGGGAAAACCCCTGCAGAAAGCAGAGATGGAGATAATCCAGCCTTGCTTCTGTCTCCCTGAATCACCTTTCTGCCATGCTACCCAAGAGGGAAGGTTCACTAAGCTCCCCACCACACCCCTTCCCAGGAGACAGCCTCCCCACAGCCACATACCCGGAGACTCTGGAGAAGATCATTGATGATGCGGGCAGCATGCTCACACCGGTCCGGGGGACCCATGATATGGGCAATCTTCTCAGGTCCAGTCCCGTCATCTGCAAGGAGTAGGACAGCACTGTGGAAAGGAGCTGGAGACCCTTACACCAGGGCCAGTGCGTGGCCCCACTGGCATTCCACCCCCTGGCAGGAAGGAGAACCATCCCTGAACCCCCACCCCTCCTCACCCTGATCCTAATGCAGTACTCTGACACTGTCTACACCCACAGGAGAAGCTGGGGCAGCAGCAAGGGAAGGACTGAGGCACAATGAACCATTCCACCCCAACTGCCCACAGAAACAGCCTTATGCCTTTTCCTCCTAGTGTGAGATAAGCAACTCCCTTCCCCCCTGCCCCAGTCCATTAATGCAGGGGGATCCACCTGCTAAGTAGGCACTGCAAACTGTACCCTAGGGCAGGGGCAGGAAGGGGAAGCTAAAGGGTGGGGGAGAAGGGTGGAGCAGCAGCCAGGCCTCAGTCTGTTAGACACAGTCCTGCCTCAGTGCACTGAACCCTGCTCACTCCTCAATGGAGGAGAAGATTCCTTTCCTCATCTCCAAAGACAGGTCATGGGACAGCTGACGGGTCCTGCCTACAGCCTCTCTTCTTCTCCCCCCAAAAAGAAGAGTTTGCCTTGGTGGGGTTTTTTTTAAGAAAGTAAAATCCTGCACAAGCAGTTCAGCCACAAGGAATGCCTTGGAAGGAGCCTAAAGCACCAAGGGTGGCACCACTTTTTGGTCAGAGGGACTGGGTGTGGAAGAAAAGTCCCAACAGGCCCAAAAGCCCTGCCAACAGGGATAGGAGGGGCAGGCATCTCTTCCAGGGCAGGGAGGGGATAGTCAGGCTCCCAACCTTGCTTAAATTGTATCCGAACTCCAGCATCATTTTGTATTTTCTTGATCATCTCCCCACTGCGGCCAATAACCACACCCACGGAGTGTCTGGGCACCGGGACCTGCAGGCAAGAGGGAGATGAATTGCATTTCAGGCAACACCAGCCCTGAATTTCAAGCTACTGCTGCCCTCTGCTGGCCAACCTGACAACGGTATCCCAGACAGGACATGGAGGAAAAGTGCAATGGAGGGACTTCATGCGGGCAGAGACTAACTAGGCTGGGCATGTTCTGTTTAGAAGAGACGCTTGAGGGGGGCATGAGAAGGGTTTACAAAATCTAAATGGTGAACAGAAAGTCAATAGGGATTTATTATTCATTAGCTCTCACCAGACAAAAACAAGGGGTCACTATATGAAACTAGTAGGATGTTAAGTTTAACGCAAGGCAGTCTTTCCAAACAGTGGGTGCATCTACATGTGAAGTTAGGGTGACAAACTCTGGCGTGGTTTGCACCAGAGTTAACTGCTCTCAGGCACAGCATGCACACATGCATCCAGGACAGCAGCAGGCTTGGGAGGGATCAGTCCCAGGCTCTGGGTGGCAGCAAAGGGGCTGGCTGGGGCATGAGTGTGCCAAAAGTGCAGAACTGTGTAGCTAGGTGGCAAGCAGCCCCTGCATTTTAGCATCCTCATGTCCTAACCAGCCCATCACTGTCTACACGTGTGTTTTGTTTCACTGAGTTATTCCAACAAAAGATAGTACCATCCCTGACAGTACTCCTACAGCAGAGTTAATTTACTGTGCCCTAAATGTACATGTAGACAGTGATGCTTTACTACAGAACTAAGTAGTCAACTCCACTGTAAAGCACGTGTAGATGCACCCATTGTGTAAATAAAGGGTGGAACTCGTTGCCACCAGATGTGGTGGAAACAGAGAGTTTAACCAGGTTAAAAAAAAAAAAAGTGTCACATTTTTTGGAGAAAAGGGGCTCCAGTAACTATTGAGCATAGGAGTGAGGGGCACAGCCTTTGAATCAGAATGCCCTGGACCTTAAATGCTGGAGGCTGCAAGGGAGAAGCGAAGCGTGGGAAAAACTCTAGTCAGACCCAGTTCACTCTCCCTTTCAGCATTCGCTCTCTGCTGCTGTGTGACACAGGAGACTGGGCAAGATGGACCTAGGAAACAGCAATTCTGATGACAAGCCCAGGAGGAAGAGCTGCCTGGACCAGAGCAGCTCCCCTGCTACTTACATCTATTCCTCCCCCAATCCTGGAACCGTATTCGTTTCGGTCACCAAAGCCACCCTGGTCACGCTCCCGTAAAATGTCCATCACCATCTCACAGGCTTGCTGTAGGCAAGAGGCAACCGTGTAAGTAAGGAGACTCACTGCCCTCCAGACCCCACAAAGCTGCCAGACATGGAATGTCCCCCCCCACCCCCCCACTTAGTGAGCTGGGTTTAATCGCCAGATACCAGAGCAGAAAGGGGCTGAAGTAGCCACAGAACAACCCCAGCTGCAGAGGAGGGGGCAGGAACACATGGCTCCTAGCAGAACTGCCCCTCTCCCACAACATAGCCTGGCCAGGACTAACCACCCCACTGCTTGCTTTACACTGTTCCCATCATCCCACAGGAGAATTATCCTGCCAGGCTTTGTATTCAAGGCCCAAGACAGAAGAATCAGGAAGGCTCAGCTCAGAATAGGAAGCCAGATCCTGGGGGAAGGGGCCCTTCCTGCCTGTCAAGCAATGAGCCCTCCCCAAGGGCACATGGGACCACAGTGCAGCATCTGAAGAGAGACTCTGCACTCCCCACCCCCAGCCCTGGGAACTGGACCCCTACCTGTACTTTGTAAGGATCCCCAATTATCCTCAGGGGTTTGTCCACATTGGTGTTCTGGGAACCGTCTTGAATCAGAATCATTTTTACTCCAGCTCTTTCCTGTGTCAGGGGATGAGACAGGAAGAGGTCAGAGACGTGGCTACCATGTCTTTCAGACCTGTTCCTTTAGCTAGTCCAAAGGGTCTCTCTAGGGCTTTCTCCTGGACGAAGGCAAGGAGCCAGGACCAAGGATGCTGTTTCCCAACAGTCCATTGAGATGCTCAAGAACTCGACTCTTGCCTGTTAAACCAGTCTCCAGGATAGACCCCAAGCTCCTATTCACAGGCTTTGGCCCCTTACAAGTGGTGAACATCTGTGGAGCCAGTCATGGTTCTAGGGATGAAGAACTGTTTGAACCTGAGCCAATTTAGGGCCTCAGCTAACACCAGTTCATTTCAGCCCAGCCACCTCCTGCCCTGCCCCAGGTAGAGGCATCCATGCAGGCTCACAGCTCCCCATGCCTAGCCAGGACTTGGGAGCCTAGAGATGGATCACATGAGTGTAGAAGTGAGCAAGGAAAAGCCAGGCAATGGGAAACTCAGTGCAGCCCATTACAGGGGAGGAAAGGTCTACTGGAATACAGCAACATTAAATCTCCAGCGCAGACATGGTCGGAGCTGAATCCACAGAGTCCTTGGGGAAAGCTACTGGCACACCATACTTGTATCCATTGAGATCAGGGCATATCCAGGCCCAGACTGCCACAAGGGTTAGTGGGAGTAACACTGGATTTGGGAAGGAATCACAAGCCATGTGTGATCCAGGTGAAGAGGCACCAGTGCGAGTGGGCTGACTGGATGCAGAACAGCATGGAGAAGAGGATGGCAGCTTGTCTGACCACCTGCACCTCCCCATTCCCCAAACCCCAAGGTCCCAGCCATTACCTGCAATTGCTTAATGGTCTCCCCACCCTTGCCAATAACCAGCCCTGCCTTCCCAGCCGGGATCATAATCTCCTGCACTGTGCCATTCTGCCCATTGGCATTGTCGTGGAACTGGCCCGGGGGCCCACCACGGCCCCGCGACACGATGTCATCCAGCATCATCTTCGCCTTCCTGCGGAGGAAGAGAATGCAGCACCATGGGGAAGGGAAGGGGCCACCTGCCAGCCTATAGGATTCTTTGGCCTACTGTACCACGAGGCTGAGGGCACTCCTGATAGGCCCTGGGAGTAGGCTTGGCTGCCTTCTGCAACTCTAAGCCCATATTTATAAAATCCCACTGGATGCTGCTATTCCCTTGGCCAGAGCTTGGCATGGTACTACACACCCATGCTGGGTGCTTGAGCTTTCTATTCTAGGGTCAAACTTAAGCCATGTGACAACCTGGCCCCAGCTTGGGGCAAGAAACCAAAGGATGCACCATAAACAGCAAGGGTCTCTGCCTGGGTTTGCCACCCTCCCTGCTCAGAGAATCATGGCTTGAACAGGGGACGATATAAATATAACTAATGCTTCTCAGCATCTCTCTTCCCATCCAAACTCCACAGGGCCCTCAAGATGGGGATGGGTGCTCAAAGGAGATACATCCATGGCAGACTCGTAAGGACAAACAGGAGAAACCCAAAGGCAACAGTTTGCCAGCAAGGGAGGGGAAAAAAATGTAGGTAAAGAAAGTTTGGATGATGGAGCTTAGCTGCCAGCCAGCAGAAGCCCCCAGCAGACTCCTGGCATGGTACTTACTGAACAGCTTCTGGAGACCCGGTCAGGGAGACGCTCCGCTCCGGCAGACCACCGCTGTCTGCAGGGAAGAGCACGGTAAAAGAAGCCTGTCACCGCAGCTCCCATCTTGCTACATGTGTCAGGATGTTTTTAAGCCTTCCTCAGAGACACTGGGCACTGGCTGCAGCCCAGGCTGGGGATGGCAAATGGGCTGTGCCAATGCTCCTGCTGGGGCTCAACCCCAGATGGTCAGGGCTAGAGGGTCTTGCCTCTTCAGTCAAAGTCAAGCTGTCACCAGATTTGGTATCAGGAAGAAATTTTACTCTCTGGTCAGACTGGTATGACAGGAGGCAGGGGGGTGAGGGGTGTGTGGAGGAGAAAGAGCATCCTTCCTTTATAGCAGGGGCATGACCTCTGCCTTGGCTCTCTCGAGCATATAAAATCGACAATGTTTTACAGCAGCAGGATGTTGGCTGCCACAGTACCCTGCTTTCCCTGTGGCAGGTCTGGGTGTGATTTCTGGTGTTGCATCAGGGTTAACAATATTATGAAGAGTTTAGATGATGGATTTGTATGGGATGGTTTGGACAGGGCTGACCAAAGATATTGCTGGGAGCAAGCTGGAGTGTTTTAGTGCCAGGGGCATGCAAATTTGGATTCAGACTAGCACCTTTAGGACCTGCAGCATATCAGGCAGCCAGCAACTCCCCTGACTAGAGACCCTCCACTATCCAAAAAAGTTAGTTACATTGCTATTAAAAATAACTGCCTCAAACCACAGGGCTGGGGAGGGTCTGAACGTACAAGGATGAGTCTGGCAAAGAGCAAGTCAATAGGTATTTATTATTTACCACCTCTCACCATACAAGAACTAGGAGTCACAACATGAAACTACCAGGGAGTAAGTTTAAAACTAACAGAAGGCAGTTCTTTTTCACCCAGTGTAGCATTAAAGGGCGGAACTTGTTGCCACCAAATGTAGTGGAAGCCGAGAATTTAGCCGGATTCACAGAAGGGACTGGACATGTTCTTGGAGAAAAGGGACATCTGTAGCTCTTAAGCATGGGAGTGAGGGGCACGGCCTCTGAATCGGAACTTCCTAGACCTTAAACGCTGGAGGTTGCAAGTGAGAACAATAGTGGACAAAAACCCAGTTCAGACCCAGTTCACTCTCCCTGTCAGCATCTACTCTCTCCCATCACATGACAGGAGACTGGGCAAAATAGACCTAGGATGCAACCCATGAAATGTCAGGTCTTATGGCTCCATGGGATCAGTGTCCTGCTTCCTCCCACCCCCTGGCCCCAGCAGGTTCTGCCCCATACCTGGCGAGATCTGTACTTTGCAGCCAGAGTCCTGCTGGATTTTGTTGATTTGTTCTCCTCCTCTGCCAATGACTGGAAAAAGAAAAGCAAGAAACAAGCAGCACAGCTGACAATGCTGGCCTACAGCAGGGACAGGAAACAGTGGCACCAGGCAGGTCTCGAAGCAAACCACTCCACATGGCTTGATCTTTGCAGCCACACTTGCAACAAACCAACCTAATACCCACAGCCATAGGGAAGCCAGAAGCTAGAGGGCAACTGGGGTTCAGGGGAACATACTGGGGGGCAGCATGGCAGGCTCTAGGACAGAGCTTTCCAAACTTTTCATGTTGGTGACACACTTTTTAGACATGCATCATTTCGCGACACAGTAATTCAGTTCCGGGGGAGGGGCCAAGGGAAGCAGACGCGAGTAAGGGAGCTCCGCGGTGCCCTTCTGCAAAATTTTCTGCATTTCGCGCGACACACCTACACACTGCCGCCGACACACTAATGTGTCGCGGCACACAGTTTGGAAAGCTCTGCTCTAGGGTAATGATTTTCAGCTGACTACCACAGCACCCCAGGGAAGCCACAGGATTTCTTCAGGGGTACCATGATGCCAGAACCACGGTGGCAGTGGTCAGATAAAACTATCCTGTGTGCATAACTGTGGCACATTGGGGGACACACACTTCCCCTGCATTAGAGTTCTCCGATAGCCCTAAAGCACATGCAAGAGCTGGCTCCAGCTATAGCCCTTCCCAGCCTGCCCCCCCACCCCAAGGAACCAGAGGCACACTGGAAAAATCCACCTGCCCCATGCACCCATGTTTCTGGGGGACACCGGGCAGAAATAGACCTGCAGAGAAGCCTAATGAGGCAGGGGAGTGCATGTGTACTGGAGCCCACCCTGTCTCATTGTCAGCAGGTGTGCAAGGCAGTTTTAACTGGCTACAGCAACACCCAGTTGAAAAGCACTAAGGTCAGCTCAGCACAGCAGAGGGGTGCCACCACATTCAGTAGTGGAGGGATGTCCAGATGCTGAAAAGGTTGGAACTATCTTTCAGGGCTCATATGGTACCACTCAAAGCGTTCCAAGGAGAGCCTCGTCCTCCTCATATGGGCAGGGATGCAGAGACAAACAACAGAACAGGAAACCTGGCTCAGAGCATTGGTTGGGTTCTAAATGCAGTGACCCTCTGATGCTTGAGTTTGTGGTGTGGCAGAGATGGAGCAGGGGTGTGCAGGGAGCCAACACTTGCTTCCCCCAGGGAAATTTTAAAGGAAAAACAATTCAGATAAATATGGTTCCCCACAGGATCTCAAAGGAACCAGCTCTCTGGGTGAGTGTGGTGGCCTCAAACCTAGATGTATCCCTGAGCTGCAGAGAGCCTTGAAAGGCCAACCAATGGGAGCTGTGTTTTTTTTTATAAAATCAAGCTTCCCTGGGTTCCCATCCTGTGAACAGCAAGGTCCAAAACCCTCCTTAGCACTCCTCTGCTGGCCACCAAGTCACACCCTTGCTCCTTTTGCAGGGAAGGGTTCATTTGGTGTTCCCTTCAGCCATTGCTGGTGGGCAGGAGTGGGGTGGGGAGGGGCTGCTTGCTTGAACAATGCCAAAGTCAGTCCTGGGAGGGGGATGTGGAGTCCTCCAGAGTTCACCTGGCCCGACCCAGAGGGATAAGGCCTTCCCCATTAGCCTAAGTCCCAGGGGAAGCACCAAGAATCATGGTGACAGTGCATTCCCTGCTGCCAAATGCAGGGAGCCAGGGCCCGAGCATCCCAGAGCTCCCTCACCTCACAAATAACCCCACAGGCAAGTTCTGGACAGAGCATCAAGATAAGGATTCAAAAGAATGGGCTTCCAAGCGAGGTCTGGAAGGGGCTTCCAAGGAAGGTGGTACTCTCCCCTACTCTGGGGGGTCTTCAATAGGAGACTAGACAAGCACCTAGCTGGGGTCATCTGATCCCAGCGCTCTTTCCTGCTCAATGATCTACTGAGGTCCCTTCCGACCCTAACATCTATGACATTGGAGCATCTGTAACAACACAGCAGAGAACCAAGGGTTTCTAGGCAAGCTTGAGGCCTGGCTTGCAGGAGCCAGGCTGGTATCAGCAAGGGCAGGCAGCAGTTGAAAGACTTTTGCAAACAACCATGGGATGCTTCCTCCCCACCCGATACTCACTGAGTCCCACCATGCCATCAGGCACTCTGTACTCTTCAGTAACAGTCGACCTGCAACAGGAAAGGGACAACAGGTTAAAGTGAGAAGCCAGAGGGTAACAGAAAAGACCAAGAATGGATCAGCTGGGGTCACAGATCATGTATAATGATGTCTTTCTTTGGCCTGGGAGGAGACATGTTGGAGCCCAAGCCCTGGAAGACAAATTGTGCTAAGATATCAAGGCACCAGAATGGAGGCCAAAGTGTGAGGTCTTTCCACTGCCTGCAAGGCACACAGATGCCAGAAAAGACTAGGTTCCCTACCAGCATGCCAAAGCCAGGTATCAGTTTCCCATACAACCAAACAGCCAGGCACATTACAGGGCAGCAATATGCTGTCCCATGCACCCACAGTGGGAGGCTGATGCTCAAAGTTAAGAAACATCAAGTTCTCAGGGCCTGGCAAGATCTCACAGACCTCACAGCTGTTGGGGCATGGAGGTAAGTTTACCTGGGAGGAGGATGGATCGGTCCCAGCTGCGTGGATAGTGCTGGAAAGAAAACAAGGCAGGATTTTGGTGAGGAATCCACAGAACAGCAGGCAAGCTACTGCCTCTCTGCTAGGGGATGGCTAGCTTCTCAGCCAGATTCCACAGAAAGCAAACAAGATCCCAGCCCATCACAGATCAGGCAGAGAGCACTAGGGTAGCCCATCACAGATCAAGCCTCTGCATTCAGAACCTACACCTTCCTTCTCCTGCCATGCACGAAGCCTAGTTAGCCTCTCACCTTTGCTAACCCCCCTCAGACAGCACTCTACTTCTCCCTTTCCCCTCTTAAGGGAAGTTATACTTACAGTCGGTCTGGGCAGCCAGCTTCTTGCTCTCCGGCTGGTCTGTTCAAAGCAGAAAGGAATCCATTAGGTGCAGCACAAACTCTCTCCAGTGCTCAAAGACAGCCCTGCCCTCCAGGAAAAAAAAATCAGCCAGGGACCAATGCTACAGGTACAAGGGGCTGGATCGGTCTATGACCTTTCATCAAAGCAAGCCCATATGGCATAGAAATAACAGGCGCTAGATAAACACAAAAGCAAGTGTCTCTAGCACAGTCCCAGCCATGTATGTATCTTTACTCTGTGCCTTGGGATACATGCAACAATCAGGAAAGCACTACAGTTCTGGCCAGTGCCAGAGTAAAAAATGGGGACTAGGAGTCCTGGGAGCTGGCCTTTATCCCCAAGTCTGCCAGCAGCTCTGTGCCCTCGAGGCAAGCCTTTCCATTTGCGTTACTCAAATACATGACCTGTGTAGCAGGGAGACCCACTTCACACCCAGAAAGGTGCCACTACCCTAGTGCCCACCGCTGGTGGCATATCATGCCCCGAATTAACAGGTGACCATACCTCCATCTTCCAGTTGTCTCTTCTGACCCCCAAACCCAAAGTCTGGAGTGTTGTTGTTCACCGTTGTAGCTGTATCTCCCCCGATTTTTGCTGCAATCTGAAAAAAAAAAAAGAAAGTAGTTGGCATTGGACAGTGGCCGCTGTTGAAAGGAAAACCCTTCCGGAGATGACAAGTAGCGTGGGCAGCATGGGCATTTGGTAGGGAGCAGAACAGAAAGCCATGGCTTTCAGAGGTTGGCCCCTGCTGGGCTAGGGGCTGCAGTCTGGGCAACCGCATTTCACCTCCACACAATGCCAGGTAACAACTCATACAGGTGATGGAAGAACTTGAATGCCCTTGCCTAGGCCTGGGCACAGAGATGAAGGTGTTTACAGCATGCAACTTGCCAAAACTAATACCACAATGTTTGAGCAAGGTACCAAGCTCTCAAGAAGTCTTTTGAGGCAAAACTTCTCAGCACCACTGTGAATTTTTTCTTAAGAGCAGAGATACCCTGTTAACCATGGCACAAGAACTCCTCATCCTGTATTTCTGCTCAATGCCAAAGGAGAAGCAGCAGCATTTTCACAGTTCAAACCAAGTTAGCACACCCAACACTTGCTGTAGAAGGCTACACTATTTCACCTGCTTTCTCTCTGGCTTTGAAAGTTCGTGCTTTCTGGCCAATTCCTGTCTCTCACCCCAGCTGTGAGGGGACAAGTCTCCCATAAGCATAGAACCATTCCCTCACACATCACAGACTTCCTCACACTGATTTTGCACTCAAAAGCCCAAGCACATACTAATATCCCACAGCTACCAATATATTTGTTCATCCAGAAGCATCTCTGACTCCAAGGCACTGATTTCCCTACTCTCTTTAAAATTAAATGCAACAAACAACAGCACAATAGCATTTGCTGCAGGTTTTAATTTAAGAGTCCAGTGCAGCAACTGCTACTCTGAACACAGCACAATGGATGTAAATGTCCAACTTGAGTATATATGCTAACAATAACTGGTGACTACAGATCTGTAATACTTCAATTACTGGCTAAATTGATGTGAACAATTAAGCTTCAACAGGGTAGAATTAAAAGTTCCCAGAGCAACCTTAAACCCTGTACTTCCTAGCAAAGTTCACAGCCTTAGTGCTGCACTGATTTTGTTTGGGAGCTATTTTTAAGGTAGCTTCCTTGTTTTGCAACCTGCCTTCAGTTCAGGATTCTGCTCTCTGGTGGGAGCTGGCAAGTGGCTGGAGATGGAGTAGGATGCCACGATACTCAGGTGCCATGGACCAGAACACAACCAGCATGAGTCCTTTTTACAGCCTCCATCAATTGCAAGATGCAGAACTCTTATCTCCAGTGCTGTCAACCCAAGCCAGCCAAATACAGCAAAATATGACAGCAAGCAAGGCTTCTTCACCCTGCCTCGGGCAACAGCCAGCACTACTATTAATTATGGTTTTCAATACTTAACAAGCTCCGTTCTCTACGCTCCACAGAACTAGAGGCTCTCCCTGCCCTGAAGTGCTGACATCCAAAGCTGACTGCAAAGGATCCTTCTTTGGGCCAGAGAGGGAAGTTTGTGGGGAGAGCTGCGAGATACAGCTCTGTTGATAAAAATGCATCTCCCCAGGAGCATCCTTTTACTGAGAGAGCTGGGACCAGCATTTCCTTACTGGCAGGAAAGCATCTCTACCAGGACTTCAGTTAGTACAAAAGCCTCATAAATGAATATCAAAGCCCCTGACCCGGCAAAAGTTTCAAGGATCAACCTGTCCTCACGTTAATTTTGGGGATTAATTTCATCAAGAGGCTCAGGCACCCATGAAACAGTAAGGATTTTCTGGGACTCCCAAGCCTTACTGGATTTTAACTAATCACATAGAAAGGAAGAGCTCTGCATCCCTGCATTAGCCTCAAAGCCATTTCGTGACCACCTCGGTTTATTAAAAACGTAAGCCTGACTATAATTTAAGATTGCACATGCAGAGGTTTTGATTCTGATAACCTGGCTTGTTCACCAGCATGAGTTGTCTACTTCAGGCAATCTTCTCCTTTCAGTGTGTCACAGAATCACAGAAAAGCAGAGCTGGAAGGCTGGATCCCCAGAGGTCACCTAGGTCCAACACCCTGTCTGAGGCAGGGTGATCCCCATCCAAACCAGCCCATACAAATCCTTGTCTAGCATAGTCCTAAAACTACATAATCAACTCTGCTGCATGTTCCCCGAAGACACCAAACCCCGCCCCTCCAACCTGCCACAGGTAAAGCCAGGGGATGAACATGCAAGCACCTGCTACTGCAAGTATTTGTTAAAATCACTCAAGAAATCCAAAGATGACCCCCCCCCCGTCACTGATGATCTGACTACAAGGTAAAAAATCCCCCCTGACCCCCAGTGCTGAAACTGGTTTGCCCACAAATGGAAGACCCTCTAACCTCCTAGCGTGAATCTCAATAGCAATTTCTAGCCAGGGGAGAGCTACAAAGCACATGACACACTAACGAAATAAGCACCATTTCCCCAAACTTCAGGTAATGCGAGTTTTATGTCAAAGTCCCCCCACAGGACACATTAGACCCCCCCCCAGTATTTATACCACAGCAAGGCACAGTTAAACAGTTAGAAGATTTTCATAAAACCTAGTCCCAAATTATAAGCACTCTCCTTTTCTCCTGTATCCATACCAACTTCCAACATCCCACAAACTAGAGAAACATCTAACATGGCCAGATGGCTAACCTGACCGATGCCCCTGTGCCAAGCCACTCTCTGGGCATTTTCACGTTGACACAAATCCCTTGCAAGAATTCATCTGAATTGGTAGCATTTCTGCTGACACCTCCATTGCCCAAAGAATCCAAGCCACAGTTCACCCAGCAGCTGGAGATGCACCTTTGATCCCCAGAAAATCCCGGCCCATTCCCCAGCATGTCGGGTAACCAGCTTTCCCAGATGTCCTCATGCAACCAAATTGTGTGCGAGGTCAGGGGGCCCAGGTTCACCACAACCCAGGGAAAGGTACCATGGGGAGAGGGCTCAGGGACTTCACCACCCCCTGCTAACCTTGCAAGGCCAGGGTGGCACAAGGAAACCTACAAAGCCTGGGGTGCAGAGACACCAAATCCCCAGCCCCCAGGAAGTGACATGCGTGGTCCCCACAGGCCTCTCCAGCACAAGGACTGGGAAACCAACACCAAGTGCAAGCTGACCTAGGACAGAGGGGCCCCAGCCCCAACTACGCCAGCTTTGCCACAGGGTGCACAGTTACAGGGGAGCAAGGGACAACACTCAGATGCCCAAGTTACTCCCCCACACACATGGCTGTCCCAGAGAGGAGCAGCCCCACAAACCCCCTGGAAAAATAAATACTGCCCCCCCAGTACAGGACACCAGGTGTGGAGTACAAGGGGGGGGGGAGGGGGGAGAAAGGGAGACTACCTCAAGGCACTGCCCCCAGACCC